AGTAATGTATGTCCGAGGGCTTTGTCAGAAACAACAGAATAGTCACCTGGCTGTGATTATGATAGCTAATCACTGAGAGAGAAGTCAACTAATATCATACTATATTTTCCACATGTTTAACTTACATGTTCCTAATGATTATAGAAGTTTCAGGAACACTAATTACATAATTAAGAGCTGTCTGCCTTGAGTGAGACATTCAAGTCTGATGTATTGTTTTTATAATCCATATATGTCTTATTCTGGTGCTAGCTACCTGGAGAAAATTCACTAGGTTATATATACATACGTATGATTTTTTGCATTTTCTATGTTTCTTATACTTCAATAAAATCTACATTAAAATCCATCAAATGTTTCATGTTCATTTTGGTAAGTTTCCCAAAATCTTTAAGTAAACAGATGTTCTCAAATCATATATAACATAATCTTATACTCTCAAAATAACTTTCTGTTAAGATCATGGAATTAAAAACTGAGATGAGAAAGCTGGCATTATGATGGATTTGACATTTCAGTTTTATGAGTTTCTCCATCAGAGTAATGGTAGGAAAAGCTTGTGAGTTTGCTCAACTTGTTTTGAAGTTACTGGTAACTGGAGAGCGAATTGACAGCCAATTATGCAAAAAAAAATGAAACTAGACCAGTGTACTATGTAATACTATATTCAAAAATTAATTCAAAATGCATTAGAGAATTGAATTTAAGACCTGCAGTGAAAAAATATATATAGATGAAAAATAGGTGATATGCTCCTTGATCATCTTTAGGTATCTGGTGATTCAATTTCAACGGCAAGGGAAGAAAAAGCAAAAATAAGCAAATGGGACTAATCAAACTGAAATATTTCTGCACAGTAAAAGAAACTATCATCAAAACAAAAAGGCATCCTATCATCAAAACAAAAATGGGAGAAGATATTTGCACATCATATATCTAACGAGGAATTAATTCCAAAAATTATAACTCATAGAACTCAGTAACAAGAACATGATTAAAAAATGAACAGAGAATATGAGTAGAAACATCTTCAAAGAAGATAGACACTGCCCAACAAGCAACTGAAAGCAGATTCATTATCTCTTACTATAGAACTGCAAATTAAAATCACAATGAGATACTACCTCACATCTGTGAGACCGATTATTTTCTAAAACAGACAAGAATCAACAAGTGTTCAAGAGATAAAGAGAAGGGAATCCTTGCACAGTGTTGGTGAGAATACTGGTACAGCCATTATGGAAAAAAGTATGATTAATCACAAAATTAAAACCAGAAATCCCATATAATTCAGTTATCCAGCTTCTGGGTTTTTACTTGAAGAGTTAAAGAGACTAACTGGAAGAACTACATGCACCTCAATGTTGATTACAGCATTCTTCAGTAACCAAGAGTGGATAAGTAGCCATTGACTAATGATCAGTATACACACACACAATGAAATACCACTCCACTATTAAAAAAGAAAAAATCCTGCCATTTGCAACCAAATTGGACCTACATGGTACTCTGCTAAACAAAATAAGATAGAAGAAAACAAACATTGTATGGTTTTATCTATGTGGGAGATAAAGAAATAAAACTAATAAATAAAGAAAAACAAACTCTTAGACTATAAGAGAACAGAATAGTGGTTACCAGAGGAAAGGAGTAGTGAGGTGGGGATTTGAGTAAAAGAGGTCAATTGTATGGTGAAAGGTGAAAATTAGACTTTTAGTAGTGAACATAATATAGTATACATTGATGTTGATTTGCAGACTTAAACTTGGAGCCTATATAATGTTATAAACCAATGTTACTTCAATAAAGAAATTTTAATTGGTTAATACAGTGAGGGGCAGAGGTTAGGTTCTATTATATAAGTCAGGGTGACCTATAATTTATTCTTCAAACCAGGACAAATACCCAAAATGAGAATGAATAAAAATGCTCAGAATATTGCCTAGTACTAAATAAACTTTACCAGTAAAGTTTATACTTTACCAGTAAAAAAGAGGTTAGAAATATCACTATTCTATCCAGAGTTTTGTTGAAAGGACTGATAAGTGAGACACCATACCATTGTAAAAAGACAATACCCACAATCCCCCCCAAAAAATGGACTCACACATGGATATTTAATACAGCATCATTTAGTATGGTACAGACTAGAAAACCACAGTAGAGGAATATTAAATAAAATGTAAGGTGTATTTTAATAAAATGGGAGAACTGTTTATAAAATCACATTATGGTGGAAAAATCAGAATAAGAAACTACTTATTGGATTAAAAGTAATTATGGTAGAAAGAACATAATCCAAAATTATGATAAACGTATGTTTTTATCGCCCACTTTTTCCTTTCCTATGTCTCCCAAATTTTCTATAAGGATAAAATATTACTTCTATATATATATATCTAAATATATATTAAAATATATATATTAAAATTGTGATGTTTTGAATAATTTTATAGGATCAAATAATGATTGCTATAAAAATATTTAACTTAGGATTTGGACACACTGTAAATTGACAACATAGAAATAGTTTTACTATTATTAGGTCAATGTTAAGCAGGAAAGTAGATAAATTCAGAAGAAACTAGGGCAAACAACAGATCCAGTAGACAGTTAAGGGAATATTAAAAGCAGTAATTTCCAGATAACTGATGCTTAGCTCCTTTACCACCAATTTTTTTTATTTCAAAGTTGTAATAAAGCCCTAATATGTATTTCATACTTTCTTGCTTATTATAACCACCAAATCCCAGCTCTCCTACCTCCCAGCTTTGTAACTTTGGGTGATTTATGTAGTAGCTTCTCTGCTTTTCTTCCCTTATATATACAATGGGGGTAATAAAACAACCTTTTTCATAGTCTTTTAAGATACTTGAGATATGGGCCTCCCCAGTGGCGCAGCGGTTGAGCGCTGGGTTGCGAAGCTGCCCGCGATCTCTGCGGTGCCGGTTCGATCCCCGGCTGCTCCCTGGCCACCGGAGGAGGGTCCCACATGGCGCGCAGACCTCTCCTGCCGCCCGCTGCTCCCCTCAGCAGTGTACTTCGGTCCTTCTGCCTGCTCTGCACCCCGCTCTGGCTCTGGTGAATTCTCTCACCCTCCCGCGCTTCTGACTGTACCCAGTGCATGTATAAACAAACAAACAAACAAATAAATAAATAACATGCCTCTATAAAAAAAAAAAAAAAAAAGATACTTGAGATAATTTACATGAGTGCTTAGCAAAGTGCTAGGTACAAAAACAAATTTCAACTAATATTAATAGCAGCCAATATTACTATGATAAACATAATACATTAGCCATTCAACAGATCTGATTGATTTGTGGAACTTATAGTGATACCCTTGAAGTACTTCTGAGGTTTGTAAAACACCCCACTCTATTAAATGTTTTCAAAGTACTAAGTCACTACAGTTCCTCTTTTTTCCTTTTTGTAGCTCCTCTCTCTGCCTTCTCTTCTTCCAATTTACTTTTAGGAAAGCTTCTAGTTCTAGTAGCTTCCTCCCCTTGCTTCTAATTGTTGTCACATATCAAAGACTGTTTAAGTCAGTAAACTTACATGGAGTACCTGGGGTAGTGATACAGATCTTCTGTGCATTTATTGTTTATTTAGTCATAACCTTTTCCTTATCTACTTACTTCTAGGGTTAAGACTGTCCATGGTACCTTAAGTTGGTGATTATCTATTTCTAGATAAATATTAATACTTCCATGACAGTAAACATTCTAAGTGCATGATGATTTTAAGTAGAAATTAAAACATTGGATGCACATTAAATCAAAAGTCTTAAAAACTTTCAATGACAAGTTAGAGCAAACAATAAGCAGTTGACTCATGAAGCTCTCTGAGCAAGTAAAATTAATACTACAGAATAATATAAAACTTATACTATGAATTCTGGGTTCTCTTCAAGCTTTTGCATTAACTTAGTTCTGCATCCTTAAATAAATAGTTTAAACTCTTTGAACTTAGTTTCTCATCTCTAAAACATAGGGTTGGGGGGCCTCCCTGGTGGTGCAAGTGGTTAAGTGTCAGCACTATGAAGCTATCCACAGCCACTGCAGCATAAGTTCGATCCCCTGGCCAGGGAGCTAACCCACACAGAGCAGCAGACTTCTCCTGTCTTGCCCCCTGCTCCCCTATTGTATTTCAATAGATCTGCCCGTTCAGCTCCCACTCTGCCTCTGGTGAATCCTCTCACCACCCCCAACCCCCTGCACCTCTGGTCTGTACCCCAGCTCTTGTATATATAAATAAATCTTAAAAAAAAATAGGGTTAGGCGAGAGTATCACAACATGCCTCTTCTTAAATTCTATTTTTTAAATCTAAATGAAGTTTATTGGTATAAGCGATACAAAGATGGTGGTGGAAAGGAATATGAAGAAAGACCATTTTAGTAATTACAATCCGTCATAAGTACTTAGGGTATGGGGACTTACATTAAAAGAGAAACTCTGAATGCAGAATGATAGATGATGAGAATTACAAAAGGCTTTTTTATTGTGCCTATCCTGATATTTGTCAGAAAAATGAGAATAAAAGCTAAAAATATTAGAAAATGAGAAAAATGTAGGGCTTGTAATAAGAAAGAATAATCAATGTACTACATAATCTTGCATCATTATAAAGAAATTTGTAGTATCTCAGTATTTAAAAATATTTTAAAGGCCAATAATCATTTCTTTGGAAAATGGAAGATTTGATTCAGTCTTTTGTGAAAACCCTTTGATTCTTGTTATTCTTTTTTATTTTCATATGATTTATGAGATATTTCATATGAAAAAAGAAAAGGGATTTACATCTTTTCACCATCATGTTCAATTACCCTTTATCATTCACTTTTCTTTTTTCCTGTACCACTTGTTAAAACAAATTTTCTGAATAATTATTATAACAGGAGCATAGGAAAGCGGAAGGAAAAAAGTTTTAAATTTATAGGTTTTAAGAGATAAGAATCATCTAGCAAAATTTATCTCAATTTTTGTCATTTCATTTCCAGGTTTAACTGAGCTGAATGACAGTCCAGTACCCCTGGAACTTGAGCGCTGCAAGTCTCCCACTTCAGGTAAACACTAGTGGTAATGTTCAGGTTTCTGGTACTTCACTGCAGTAATCTACTGCTTTATTTTCATAATTCTTACAATGTGAAATTTATAATTTTATTAACTAGATATAACTTACTTCTGAAATTGAAGCATAAGCAAATTTGACCAAAATTGAATAAAAATAAATGTCTTTAAAATACTTTTGGCCTCCCCAAAAAATTAAGATCAGAGGTATAAGGAAATACTTTTGAAAGGTATTTTAAGGGAAGATTATTTTACAGATGTATTAATAATGCTAAGCAAATTGGCATTATTATACAGAAACTATCTTATAGCTAGAGCTGGATTAGTGGGAAAAATATACTTCAGATATAGGGGCATATGATGCCATCCTTCTGGACCATAGTTTGTAAATACATATATTCACTGACAAAAAATGATATGAATGATATGTTAGGAGTACAATAACAAGATATTGTGTGAACCCATGAAACTATTTTAAAATATGAGTATAAAGATTCCTAGTAATAAATTTGTACAGTGTGTAAAAAAATGTTAATAGTAGAAATTGTTGGATGGCAGAATTATGACTTGTTTGCTTATTTTTTAAATATTTATCTGATTTTTTCATAATGCAGATCATGTATAAAGTTTTAAGCATTAAAAGTATTGGAATATCTGTCATAAGCTAGATCTGCTTTCACAGAGTATCAAAATATTAATTCTAACTTAATTTGAACTTCAAATTTATAAGCATTTAATAATGTCTATTAGAAATTCAGTTATAATTGCAACATTTCTCCAATTTACTCTATCCCTTAAGGGTTATTAGTTGTTTACCTTCATTCCTCAGTAACCTAGTTAACTAGAATCTGGTATGTCCTGTGTACATTTTTGCTGTATTCATGTATTTTTAATGCTCATTTTACTACTTTTGTTTTAAACATATCACACATTTACCCACTGGCACCATCTACTTTAGGTGTTTATTACCCCATACCTAGAACATCACAAAAATGTTGCAGCAGGTATCTGCTTTCCATTTCTCCCTCATACAATTCATTATGCAGATCATGTTCAAAATTAATCCCCTCAAATTATTCATTTACTTTATGTTCTTAGTCAAAAATCCAAAATAAAATATAAATCAATATTCCACATCAAATGTAATAGGCAAAAAGGTTGTGTTAATGTGTTCATTTTAGTTCTCACATTTTGTAAAGATGTTGAATATCTTTTCATGTGTTTAAAAACTTCACAAATATTTTTTCTGTGAATCATCTATTCATATAGTTGCCCATTTTCTGTAAGATTACTTTTCCTTTTCATATCATTTGTATTACTTTTCTTAAGTCCATCCCTTTTTGACATAAGATACATGTTTTTTCTCAATGTACCCTTTAATTTTGCTTGTGATGGCTCATATCTTAGAGCAGTTTTTTGTAATCAGACATTGGTCTTTTTTTTTGGTCTTCATTCTTTATGCCCAACAGTTTAAGTGCTATTGGGATTTTCTGCTTTTTAAAGTTTTGGTAAAATTCCCCTGTGGAATAATTTACCCTGTGTAATTACTTATTTTGCATATTTATACTTTCTTTTTTAAAAGAAAAATATTTTCATTATGGAAATTACCTAAACATAAGCAAAGACTGAGATTCTATCTTTCTTTAATTATGCTAATTAATAATTCATCTACTTTGATAAATCCCAAGATTTTACTGACTCTTTTGACTTATTAAATTCTGCTTCTATCTTTAGTAGTACTGTTTTCCTTGTTTTATTTTATTTTTCCCTTTTCAAATTTTTATGGTAGAGGCTTAGTTCATGTATATATATTATTTAGTGATTAGATATTAATAGAAGTTAAGAAGGCTAAATTTCCATCTGCTCTGCATTAGATGTATCATAACTTTTGTTAAATTTGAGATTTCATTACCATTATTTTTTATACAGTAATTTTGTTTATATTTAATGTAAGTAGCTGTGTCACCTTATTAGGATTTTTACATTTTGATTACCTTATTTACATTTTGATTACTCAACTTGTCAAGGATTGAGAAAAAGCAAATTTAAATATCATACTAACAATGTATTTGTTTTTCCTTGTTATCTGCAGTGTGATTTTTTAAAAATATTTAAGCATTGATCTTAATAAACCCACATATACATTTTATACTGTTCATCACTATTGTTCAGTACATATGTGTTCTTCCTTCTGATTTTTTTTTTCATCCTTACTATTAATACCATGACTCTATTTTTTTCCATTGATTTTTGGAATTTTTGTGTATCTTAGTCTACCTCCTTTTCGATAAACTTTTTTTATATATGTATACATATATATGTGTATATACGTAAAGAAAGGGGTGTATAAATCTTAAGAGTATAGCTAGATTAGTTTTACAAATGAATAGGTCATGTAGACAACATCCAGATCAGATACAGAATGTCACTCAAACCCCAAAAACGTTCTCCATGCTCCTCTAAGCTGCTAACCTACACAAAGGTTATCTGACTTTTATCACCATAGATTAGTATTGTGGGTTTTAGACTCTTGTATGACTGGACTGACACAGTATTTACTTCTTTTGTTTCTTACTTCAATCAACATCATGTGTGTGATATTCTCCTCTGTTGCTGAATGATTTATTTCTGTGTAATATTCTATTATGTGAATACATATCAGGTTATTTATGCAGTTTATTGGTAGACATTTAGGTGGTTTTCAGATTGGGGCTATTATAAGTAAAGCCATTATGACCAATCATGTAATGCATTATATTTAATCACTATAAATATACAAATATTATATATTATACAAATATAATTAATGCAAATTGAAACTCATTTCTGTGATACATGTTTTTGGGAGTAGAATTTTTATGTCACAGGATATACGTACGTTCAGGTTAGTAAATAATACCAACTTTCCTAAAGTGGTTGCACCAATTTTACTTCCACTAACAGTGAATAAATGTTCCATTTGTTCCATATACTTGCCAAGAGTTTTTTTGTTTTGTTTACAATTTTAGTCATTATGAGACATGTATGTAACATTATCTCATATAGAGCTAAATTCAATTGCATAACCCTGAAGTCTAACGATTTTGATGAGCCTTTTAAAATGTTGACTACTTTCAATGCCCTCTTTTATAAAATAGTCAAGTCTTATTCTTTGTAATTATGTTGTCAACTTTTTTTTGGTATATAGGAATTCTGTGTATATATATGTGTGTGTGTGTATATTTAGACTGATACATGATGCATACTACACATATACAAGCCATTTGTTGAATGTATATAGTACAAAATATCATTTCCCACAGTGTGTCTTACCTTTTACTATCTTAAAGGTGGTCTTTTAGTGAACAGAAATTCACTAAAAAGTGCTTTATCTGTTTTGTTTTTAAAAATCTTTATGGAACCCAAGACTATGAAGCTGTTTTTCTTTATATTTTTCATTATATCTTCCTTTATAGTTTTCTTTCTATTATATTCTAGAAGTCTTATTGTTTACATTTCATATTTAAGTTCAAATTCTATTTGAAAAAGAATGCTGTGTACAATGTAATTAGTTAAGGTTACCATTTATTCAGTTCATCAGCACCATTTATAAACTATCATTTCCCTCACTGCACTACAGTGCTTTTCTCATAAAATAGTACACTGTGTGTGTGTGTGTGTGTGTGTGTGTGTGTGTATCTGCACTTTATGCTCTAGTTCACTGACAAGTTTGTAATTTATCCAATTCCATACTATTTTAATTACTGTAGCTTTACAGCCTGTCAGTAGTGTAGATTCTCTGATTTTATTTTGATGTATTTTCAAATGTTGTGACTATTCTAGGTCTTTTGTATTTCCATGTAACTTAAAATGTAGTTTGTAAATGAATAAATATGCTTGGAAATTGATTAAATTTCATTGATTCTGCAGGTCAGCTTGGCAAAAAAAACCTTTTGAACAATACAATATTGAGTTTTCTATTTGGAATCTCTCCATTTGTGGGTGTCTTCTTTCTCTTAGGATTACTTTTAGTCTTTTTTGTAGAGGTCTTACACATATTTCATTATATTTACTTCTTTGTATTTGATTTTTTTATGTTGTAAATGTTTAAGTTATTTTTCTTATTGTTTGTGGTCAGGATTTAAAATTTAATTTTTGTATATTGACCTCATATAATATGAAATTCTTTTGCATAATATATGTATCCAATTATGACCCCCATTAAAATGGAAACTAGCTAGGAGCTTCAATACAATGCCAAATAGATGTAATGTTATCCAACATCTCTTCCTTTATCCCAAACTCAGGGGTCTTTGAATATTTCTTAATTATGATAATTGTTATAAGATTTTTGTACTCATCTTGCTTTTGTCCTCTGCCTGTGATGTTTCATCTCTTATCAATGTTAGAGAAGGCCGAGAAACATCACCCTCACACTTTTTTTGGGGGGTGGGTAAGGCAGACTGAGAGGATGAGCAATCAAGTAAATTCTTACTTAGGACTGAAGTTATTAACTCTAATATGATATATTTAATACTCGAGTGCTTTTTAAAGACTGGTTTGATTGATAGGTCCCACTCGCTAGTAACAATTTCAATTATAAATAATCATAACTGAAGAATGATAGATTTTTTTTCTTATCACTTTTAAATCATTGCATGTTATATTTGTTAAAATATATTAAATTTATCTTTCTGGGAAAAGTGCCAACAGTTTATCTTAAGAATGTCAGAAATAATATTTACTTATTTCTTTCATTTCCTATGAAAAGAAAAACTAATTGTGTTGTATCAAGGGATTTTTTTAAACCCACAAAGTAGAATGTCCCCAATATCATTTACAGAATAAGCATGGCAACACATGTACATAAAACTACTTTCTATAATCTCTTGCTAGTGTTGTAGAAATTAGTGCATCAAATGTAGATTATCAGGGAAGGGATAGTGAAGGTAAATGCAAACTTTTAGCCCAATCTCACAAAACTAAAATATAACATGAGGAAGAAAAAATTAAGTCTCTCATAGTAGTTTACAAAATGCATAAAATTTGTTATGTCTGCATTTTTATTCTTTTCGACCTCTAAACAATTAAAATGTTCAGATAAGTTAGAGATGATGAATCAATATATATAATTAGGGAGAACTAGAATATTTGAATACATTTTAACTTGCACAAAAATTAATTATAAACAGCCAATCCCTCCTAATAAGTCTCCTTGATTTATGCATTCAGAAACAGTTCCAGAGTATAATCACTGCATATTATTTATTCATTCAGTTAACTATTCAAAAGTAATTTTCATTTTTATAGTTAGGTGTTATACTTTCCAATGTGAATAAACTAATGAACAAAGTAAACATACTTGAAAAATGAAACTTATAATCTGCAAAAACAACTTTCAAACTAATCATTTTACAAATTGCTAATTGACTTTTTTCTTAAAGTTGTGTAATCCTTTTTACTCAGCACATAAGGCTGTACAATTTGTGCACCACCTAAACACATCTCCAAAGGAGAAAAGTATATGGTAACATTTAGCCCTAACTCTCCTTACCTGGGGTAGTACTACAATCTCCTAAAGGAAACAGCCCCCATTTCTTTGGACCAAGACTTGAAAACTAACCAAGCTTTATTTTCCCACAAGACATACATTTTTTTATTTGTCCTCCTTGAAGGTATGCCTTAAAAATTGTTTACTCAAATGAACATCTTTTTCTAAACTGTCAATAGTATCAGGTCCTAATACTACTGCTACTTATACAGCCATCCATCCTTATGAGTCTCACTGTCCACAATGTACAATAAACTTACTGTGCTAACAAGTTCAAGTAAAAGCTAAGGAGATAGGAGCCTCCCTGGTGGCGCAAGGGGTTAAGATGCAACCTATGAAGCTGTTCACAGCCACTGCAGCGCAAGTTCGATCCCCGGCCAGCCAGGGAACTACCCACATGGCCCAGCAGACCTCTCCTGACTTGCCCGCTGCTCCCCTCAGCAGTGTGTTTCAGTCAGTCTGCTAGTTATGTTCCCCACTTTGTCTCGGGTGAATCTTCTCACCCCCCACACCTCTGGCATGTACCCCGGTTCTTGTTCACATAAATAAATAAATCTTAAAAAAAAACTAAGGTGATACTATTTATTTTTGCTATATTTATTTAGGTCTTTTATTAAATATTATAGACCTATATTGTAAAAAAGGATGTAAAATAATAATACATCATTAATTTTTAAAATTTTAATAAATATTATAGAGGCTAGTGTCACAAAATTCTATCAAAGAAGTAACTAGATCTGTTGTTCTCAAACCCGGATTACAAGTATGTCTTATATTCTAATTTTAATACTCCTTTGTGTGACTCTACATGCCTAAAACCCCACTACATCCTCCAAAGAAGAAAACTTCCCACCTAGCAGTCCTCTGTTGAGACAGTAACAAAATACTCAGATAAAACAGAGAACCTTGCAAATCATTATGAAATTCACCTCTAAGGGGAAATTACTGGTTCACTTGGGCTAAGCAATTACATACCAATAGTTTTTGTTCCCTTCCTTTAGGACTTGCTACCAGAACTCCTGAGACAGCACCAGGCATTTATAGGAATGAAATACCATCTGTGAAACAGAGGAATCAAGTACATCACTTGCCAGGTGAAAATGAAAATCTTTTATGAACAATCAAGTTATTCATATCTCCACAACTTTCTAGATTTCACAATTGGTCTAAAAAGCACATAGGTGTTATATGGTAAATGAAGACAAATTTCCCTAAAGAAATGGTTAAGACCATAGACACTGTCTTCATGAGATTATAAAAAGAATTTCTCATGTTCTTGTGAAAGGTTTTGAGCTGTTTTGGCAGTGCTGTTTTTCTACTCTAAACCTGAATAATTTCAACAGGCATATAAAAAATATGGAAGCAATAACAGAAAATTAAGACAAAACTTAAGAGCCAAAAAGTAGAGTTGTTTTGTAAGAATTGTCCATAATTTTTCATAATTAAATATGTTCTGTGATCAGAAACAACTATGATGATCATAGAAACTCCACCAAATTGCCTCAAAGGGGCAATGTTCTCTCTCAAAAGTAGGGAGCAGAAAGGAAGATTCCTATAATCTAAATTTTATGTACAATCATTGAATATTTGATGCTGCTATTATTAAAAAAAGAATCAAACACAGGTTGTACACCTTCCTTAATTAGGTTGCCACCAGATTTGCAACTTTAAGAAGCATCAGTGCTCTATACCCCCAAACAAAGTCAATAACCAAGTAACCTTAAGATAGTTGTACTTCACAGTACAACAGTAGTTCCTGTTTTTCTTTTGTAGTATGCCTTTTTCTGATGAGAAAACTAAAGCTCAGAGTAAGTAGAGCTGAATTTCCAGCTTAGTTACATTAGGTTGTAAAACCTTTTCTCATTAGAATGAGAAAAGGAAACTTGAAAATGACCGGGGAAAAAAAAAAAAAAACAGAATTAATTGAAATTACATGACAGTGAAAAAATGAGAAGTTACTGAGTTATGAATAGGCAATGCTCTAACAAATTCAAAAAAATACATTTTGATTGAAACATCAGAAAAAATAGTTTACCATTTAAGTTTCAAGAAAAGCTGGTTTAGAAAATAATTTTTAGTTCTTTTAGTTCATAAGTTTTATCAACATTATCACCACATGTTTAACTCAGTAGGCCTTTTTTGTTAATATTGTAATCACTTTTAGTATTGTATCTTTAAAGCAACAAGGAATTTTTTTCTGCTTTATCTTGTTTAATCCTACAGCAACCCGGTTCCGGTTGTTGGTGTTCTCATTTCATATGAAAAGAGAATTTATGGATAAGAAAGAGAATTCTATAACTTTCCCAAGGTTACCTTGCTAGTAAATAGCTTAGTCCGAACCAACCCAAAACTTCAGATTTCAAGGCTCTCTGACCCCAAATTATTTGGCCTCCTTTTGTGTACTTAAGAATAAAAGTGTGAACTTTTAAGGGGCGGGGGGGAGGGGAGAGATTGGGGTCAGAATGGGGGGGCTGCAATTGTATGGGGAATATAAAATAAAATTTATTATTAAAATAAAAAAAAAAACAAATAAAAAAAAAAAGTGTGAAGAACCTAGTTCTCCATGGAAGTTAATAAATCTAATTCAAGATAGACAAGAACAAAATAAAATGTTAAAGTCATTGAACACTTGTTCCTATGACAATAAATGGTCACTGATTCACCAATTTATCTATATAGAATCGTAGTACATATTTTAAGGTTGCAAAAGAAGTATGGTCATTGTATCAAATATCTTTACACCAAAGCAAATTGTAATGAAATACTTCTTTGTCTTAGACTTTTCTGGGGGTAAAAAGAAAGTATGGGAGAATGGCAATGAAAGTAAGGCATGTAAGCCTTGCAGGGTTCCCCATGGAATGAGAACCCCAAATGTGTGTGTGTGTGTGGTGTGTGTGTGTGTGTGAGAGAGAGAGAGAGAGAGGAGGGGGAGGGAGGGAGGGAGAGAGAGAGAGAGAGAGAGAGAGAGAGAGAGAGAGACAGAGAGAGAGAGACAGAGAGAGAAAGAGAGAGAGAGAGATTGAGATTAGTCGATATACAAACCAGGGCTTTTCTCCTACCCTGCCATTTTCTATGATTCTAACTTTAGCCAATTTTCATGGTCTTAACTGTGTGCTAGTGACCAGAGCACAGATCTTCAATAATATATAGTAATGATTATATTTAAAGCAATAGATGTGTATCAATGATCTAAAGAGATTGAAATTGGTCATCTTGACCATTCTGAAATTCCAAATACTAGTTGTAACTTAGCCAAAACAAAATAGAAATTCACTAAAAAAGCAAAAGTTAATCCATTTGTTTCTAATCAAGAAACAACTTATCAGAAGCTTTGAATTAGAAACTTCTAACCTAGCTTTTTGTGCTATTTCCCATTATAGTAATAGCCATATTCAGACTCTGACTGGGTTCCCCTGTTCCTAAAATTTTAATTCAAATTTAGAACTAAGGATCTGACTGAGACTTACTTGAAGTCAATATAATTTCTCTCTGATGAACCAGGCTATAGCACTAACCTTTGATTTTGCATTTAATTAGGAGTTAAGAAAAAGGAATATGAATATACAGTTCACTGAAAGAGATCATACACTCAAGATGCAGGAGACCCACCAGGCAAAAAAACCTGAGCATATGACCTCATTCTGGCATTAACTATGATAAAGCACCAAATTTTCCTACCTCTTTGTTTTAATTGAACCTGTATTTAGGAGGCTGAAAATCTAGGCATAGAGATAAATTGTCATGCAAAAGTCTATGATCTGGGCCTCCCCGGTGGCGCAGCGGTTGAGCGCTGGGTTGCGAAGCTGCCCGCGGCCTCTGCGGCGCCGGTTCGATCCCCGGCTGCTTCCCGGCCACCGGCGGAGGATCCCACATGGCGCGCAGACCTCTCCTGCCGCCCGCTGCTCCCCTCAGCAGTGTACTTCGGTCCTTCTGCCTGCTCTGCTCCCCGCTCTGGCTCTGGTGAATTCTCTCACCCTCCCGCGCTTCTGACTGTACCCAGTGCATGTATAGACAAAACAAACAAACAAACAAAATAAATAAATAAAACATGCCTCTATTAAAAAAAAAAAAAAAAAAAAGTCTATGATCTGATGCTGTTGTAGGACTAGGCCATCACCTGATCTTGAGACCTAATTCATAAAAAAACATTAATAGGTATTTTGTCATCAATCCTTTAAATCATTTGCATCATTTTTGGTCTCTTATGCCATCAAGTCTAACAATTTCTAGGTAAATCAGAAGGTGATAGATGTTATTAGGTAAGTGATTAACACTGTCTGTTGAATGCTTTCTTTCAAATTTTGGTGAGTTTTTAAAAATATTTTTGTTAGGGGGGGTTTACTTTTTTATTGAGTTAATATCAGTTTATAACATAATATAGGTTTCAGATATATAGCATTATAATTCAAATAATGTTGAACATCTTTCATGCGCTCACTGGCCATCTGCATGTCTTCCTTGGGAAATGTATATTGAAATCATCTGCAGTTATTTAAATAAAAATATTTTGTTGATGTGTTATTTGAATTCTATATTGATTTTTGATAGCCCCTTATCACATACCAGCTCTCCCATTCAGTAGGTTACTTTTTTTTAATTGCTTCTTTCACTTTGCAGAAGTTTCTTTGATGTAGTCCTATTTGTTCATTTTTACTTTCATTTCCCTTGCCATTGGAGAGGAGTCCACAAAGACATCACATCATCAAATATCAAAGAGTTTACTATATTTTCTTATATGTATTTAATGGTTTCCAATTTTACCTTTCCATTTTTATTTATTTTTTTTTTTTTATAGAGGCATGTTTTTTTTTATTTATTTATTTGTTTGTTTTTGTTTATACATACACTGGGTACAGTCAGAAGCATGGGAGGGTGAGAGAATTCACCAGAGCCAGAGCAGGGAGCAGAGCAGGCAGAAGGACCGAAATACACTGCTGAGGGGAGCAGCGGGCGGCAGGAGAGGTCTGCGCGCCATGTGGGACCCTCCTCTGGTGGCCGGGGAGCAGCAGGGGATCGAACCGGCGCCGCATAGGCCGCGGGCAGCTTCGCAACCCAGCGCTCAACCGCTGCGCCACCGGGGAGGCCCTTACCTTTCCATTTTTAAATAACTTTGACCTATTTTTTGTATGGTATAAGCTAGTGGTCCAATTTCCCCAACATTATTTATTGAAGAGAATTTTCTTGCTCATTGTTGGCCTTTGGCTCCTTTATTGAAAACCAGTCACCCATATATGTATGGATTTATTTCTGGACAATGAATTCTATTTCAGTGATCTGCATGTTTGTTTTCATTCAAATACTGTGCTATTTTAATTACTGTTGCTTTGTGGTTCAATATGTATATTTTGATAGTTTGAAATCAGTGAATGTGATACATCATTATTGTTCATTTTCCTAAGGATTTCTTTGGCTATTCAGGGGCTTTTGTGATACAAGAAAATATGTGATTTTTTGTTATATTCCTGTGAAGAATGCCTTGCAAAGTTTGACAGTAATTGCGATGATCTATATGTTCCTTCAGGTAATATAGCTATTTTAATGTTAATCCTTGCAATTTATTATACAGTATTATCTGCTTCTTTATATGTTCTGTTATTTCTTTCAACAATATCTGGCATAGTTTTCAACCTATAGGTCATTTTTCTCCTTAAATTTATTCCTAGTTTTTTGATGTGATTGTAAATACAATGGTTTTATTTCTTTTTCTGCTAGTTCATTATTTTATTATGGAAACCATAGTTTTTAAATATTGATTTTGTAGTCTGTTACTTCACTATGTTCATTTATTATTTCTAAGAACTTTTTGTAGTGTCTTTAGGGTTTTCCCTGTATATTATGTGATCTGTATACAGTAATAGTTTTAATTCTTTGTTTCCAATTTAGAATCCTTTTATTTTGTCTCCTTTTCTAATTCCTCTGGTCAGCACTTCCAGCACTATATTGAATAATAGTGGTGAGAGTGAATATCCTTGTGTTGTTCCTAATCTTTAAGGGAAATTTCAGTTTCTCACCATGATTTTGGTTGTGGGTTTGTCACATATGGCCTTTAACATGTGGAGGTTTGTTATTGCTATGAGTTTTTATCATAAAAGAACATTGAATATTGTCATATGCTTTTCCTGTGTCTACTGAAATTATGATTTTTGTCCTTCCTTTTGTTGATGTGGTCTATCATTTTTCACTGATTTGTGTATACTGAACTATCCTTGCTGCTCTGAAAGAAGTTCCACTATCTTGGAGTATGATACTTTTAATGTATTGTTGAATTGATTTTTAATATTTTTTGAGATTTTTGCATCAATATTCATCAGAAATGTTGGTCTTTAGTTTTCTCTTTTTGTGATGGTCTTGTCTGACTTTAGTATCAGTAATGCTGGCCTTGAAATATGTTGGGAGTTTTCCTTCCTCCTCAAATTCTGGAAGAGTTTGAGAAAAAGATCTAAGTTCTTCTCTGAACACTTGATAGAATTCACTGAAGATCCTAAGGAGGCTTTTTTTAAAAAAAGATTTATTTATTTATGCATACAAGAGCTGGGGTGTAGGCCAGAGGTGCAGAGGGGTGAGAGGATTCACCAGAGCATAACAGGCAAATCTGCTGAAATACACTGTTGAGGGGAGCAGCAGGCGAGACAGGAGAGGTCTGCTGTGCCATGTGGGTTAGCTCCCTGGCCAGGGCTGCTGATAGCTTCATAGTGCTGAGACTTAATCCCTTGCGCTACAAGGGAGCCCCATCCTGAAGAGGCTTTTAATGACTGCTCCACTTTCCTTAGTTATGATCAGTCTGTTCAGATTTTCTATTTATTCCTGATTTAATCTTGGAATGTATGCTTCTAAGAATGTGTCCATTTTTTAAAACTGTTTATAGTAATTGCTTATGATCCAATTATCCCTGTAGTATTTATTATAATTTCTTCTATACCTCTGATTTTGAGTTTTTCTTTGTGAGTCTAATGGTTTGTCAATAGAATTAGTGATAATCACATTAAAAAATCTCAGCAAAGTGATATCTACATCTATATACCTATCTATAACTGTATCCAAATCTATACCTAATTAAACAACCGGGGACAATATGGCATCCGTGTTCAGAAAAATCTACATGGATCTTGCAAAGTGCTTTTTGTTCAAGAATCCTGAGTAAAAGTCCCATGGGTTGATTCATGTTCATAAAACTATAAAACATTTCTCAAAATGTGATCTGCCAACCTCTTAGTATCAGTTATAATTCCTGCTGATCTACTAAAGTACTGGGCGTGCCCCTTAAGTTTCTTTAGATGCTTTAAGATCTGGAATTTAAGACCAAGAATCAGTCACTCTTTATTACACCAGTGGTTTGAACTGGGACAAACTGGTTATGGTAAAGGAAAGTAAGTAAAACTCTAATAGAAAGAAATTTTGAGGCAATTATAGAAACCCCAAATTGGGTATTTTTAAAATACTGTCGAATGTTTCTATTGTGGAACTATTCAAACAGGTAATATGACAAGAGTAGCATAAAAGAAGTACTTGCAGATAGTGGACTAGATGACTTAGAGTCTTTTGAGCTGATATTCTCTATCTTTTCTCTGTGCAGTGTGCTAAACCAGTGAGCAGTGATGTCTCCATTTCCCATATTCTCCCCTTTGGCTAACAATTGAAATAACAGTGCTACATATGGTTTAGCTTAGATAACAGTAAAAAATAAAGAAATTCCGAGAGGTGCATTCCCAAGGACATATTGCTAAAGTTAACAAGTGTTTTCATTCTATAAATTGCCAAGACTACTTGCCCCTTATTCTCTCTTAATTCATCTTCTAACCCAAATTTCTCATATTCTTCTAATATTTGAAAAAGGTACGTTCTGAGCTTGCCCCCCTTCAGGGTAATGCTTCACTCCTACTTTCTGACTTTACTGGTGTTTTTCAACATTCATTCAGCAAACACTTACTATATACCTACTCTATGCCAATATTTTATTAGGTAATAGGAATACAATACCCTGTTTTTGGAGCACTCAAAAGTTTTAGGATGTTAGTGGGTAGTAGTTTTAAAAAATCAAATATAATAAAATGTGTTTAAAGGGCTATATGAATAAGGTGCTTTGACAGTTTAGATAGTAGAGAGAAAAATCAGCACTAAAAAAACTCTATAAATAGCCCACCTCCTCAGTCCATCTGAATTATGAATCAATTTACAATATCCTTTATTTTCAGTCTTTTTTGAGGTATATTATGAAATATCTTTTGCCATATTTGTTATAAATAACATCATTTTGTTTGTGCTGATAATTTTAGTTACTAAAATTTACTTTATTGATTTTCCCTTAATAGAATTCATGAGACAACTGTCTGACACTATTTTTATTTGGCTAATACTTAACTTTCCTTTAAAAAGTAGTTTAGCATGCATAATCAGTAAATTATTATAATTATTATTATAATCAGTAAATTATAACCCACAGCCAGATCCAGCCTACCACCTTTTTTGGTATGATGTGTAAATTCAAAATGTGTCTTTAATATTTTAATGGGTGGGGAAAATCAAAAGATGAGTAATATTTTATGGCACACAAAAAAGTATACCTAGGTTTATGTATTTTGATTTTATAAAACATGTCTTAAGAATCATATTGTGGTTGAAACAGAGAGCAATGAGGAGCATTATTTGACAGATAAGACAGTTATACATTGATGGGTTTTTTTTCAAAGTTATATAATAGGAAGTAATAATTCCGAAATTTCTGAACCACACTTTCTACTATATTATTCTGCATTTTTTAAATAGCTTTACTAATTATAAAGAAAATCACCCATTAAAAGGTACAAATTAATTGATAGTACCAATTTGAAACTTAATAAAATATTGATAGAAAAAAATTCTAAAATAATTTCCCTAATTCATTTCTATCTATAGTAGCATGAATTACAGTTAAGTATTTTCTGATGCCCAATGTAAAATTTTTATTAACATAAATAATGAGGAATTTTTACAATAATTTATAACTTTTCATGGTTTATGCAAATTTATTAGAATAACTCAATTTAAAGTGATATACTTAAGCTCACTTTCAAAAATTTTGTATTTTCAAGATTTTCTTAACTGCTTAACATTGTAATATTCAATATTAATGGTATTTTATTTTCCATGAGCATAGTAGTTTCCATGACTGTACCATATGTATCTATAATAGAGTTTTCATTAGTTCAAATAAATGTTGACATAATTCACCAATTTTTACCCTTATCATTGGTATTTGTGATATGACATATATACATTTCAATATTTATTTACCAATTAGATCTATCTAAAAATTACTTTTGGTTCTTTCTAAATTAAATAAGAAATCACTTCTCATAATACATCTGGGAAAAAATTATGCAAAGATAAGCAATTATTCTTCTAGCAAATTAGTCTTTCTCATGTTTCTGCTTGCACTGAAAATGTTTACTACTGAATGACAACAAAGCTAACAATGAACGATATTTTTGCTTCCATACATGCTCACTACTATAATGTCCATCAAGTTTTTAATTATACTGTAAGACATACTGTTCCCCCACACTACTTGTTAATTTTATATAATTAACAACTGCCTTTTTCCTTTTTCTGTTGTTTCAGTTAAAGGATCAAGAAAGTTAAGTCTGCCAACAGATCTTAAGGCTGATCTTGGTACGGTAGGCAAAAGCCAACAATTTTAAGTTTTCTTACACTCTCTTGGTTGAACATTTTTACCAACCAGTCCATGAAAAACGCAAGTTTCCTAGATGGCAGTGTTCGATGACTTTCCAAAACGGCCTTCTTGAAAGTCACCATACAGTTCTGTTGGCAGCATTCAACATTTTGTTCGTTAACAATCATTTTACAAAATTATGTTTTTATAAATCATTACACCCCAAGATATATAATGTTTTGTTTTATTTTATCATAATGTTTTTAAACAGTGAATAGTCACATATATGGACACTTTGTGACTATAATCATGTGAATGTACATCATTTCTTGTGGAATTATTTTACCTATATTGGATATTAGTGTCATTTAATTTTAATCCTATTTAACAAAAAAAGTCTAACACAGAAAATAATGACACTCTGGTCATATTTTTAATTTAGGGAGGTTACTGAAAATTTGGTTCACTTTTAGTGTATTTTTTGTGATGGTCACAGGCTAACTTACAGCTCTGAAATAAGTCTTTATTAAATAGGCCTTCAGAAATTTTTCTTTCAGAACTTTTGCCTGTTCTCACATAGGTTTTTGTTAATTAAATTACCTTTATTTTCATCTCCTGTATTCTGACTTAAAGCTATAGCATTAAATCCTACTAATGTTATTGTTATATACCAAAAATACAACTACTCTTTGAATTATTCTTTTAGGAATTTACAAAACTGTTTCACAGACATTACTTCGTTTGGTTTTCTTAGTAACTCTTTATGTTTATTGTCACAATTCCCAGAGCAGAAACTGAGATTATGTTCTTAAAAAAAATTATTGAATTAAGATTTGAAACTAGATCATAAAACAGGATACTCAAAAGTTTTTGGACCACGTTCACAGGCTCTTTGTATCTAAGTTAAGTAACTGTTAGACAACACATCATTTATTGCGTTTAAAATCCAATCACCTATACTCATGAATTTAATTAATTATATAATCACATTTTTGAATGCAAAGTACTAATAGGTCTTAGTTCTATATTAAAGAAATTATTATGAACTTAATATTTTACCAGTATAATTGTAATTATGGTTCCATTTATTGACCTACAGTATGTCAGACACTGTGCTATATGCTGTATATATTATCTGACATAAAGTAATTGATATTGTTTGTATTTTACATATGAATAATTCAAATTTGCCTAAGGTCACCAAGTTAACAAAACTGAACTTTAAGTCTATATGACTGCAAAAATCTCAAAACTACCAACCTAATAAATTGTGGAGCACATATTATGACAAACATCAAAAAGATGACTAAAGATAGAATATGCTTTTCTCTAGAAAAATATACATTCTGACATTTATTCACATAATTTCCACATATCATTTCTTTCCTAGAATGTTGAAAAGAATAATGAGATTACCAGTCTATGTCTAGATTTATTAGAAGTAGTAAAGAGAGCTCTTAGTTATCATTTCAATCTTCAAATTACTTAAGCATGATTAATATTAATAAACACATTAATAAAAATATCTATAAATGTCCTCAAAATCTCCAATTATCTCCCTCCCAATTCATTCATTCTCACTTTTACGCATACTTAAAACAAAAATGAATTATAAGATCTCATACATGTAACAGGTAAAACATTTGAGTGCTTATCACTTTGCTAAAGGATATTTTGCACTTAAAGAATTCATAGTAAAATTTAATAAATCTGTATTTCTAAGTATATAGTTTCTTTTTAAAAATATTTCCCACAGATTTCCAGAAAAAAAATCATAAGCCTTCTTAAAAATAAACAAATGTCTGTATATGTGATAATCCTTCATGTAAAACCTTTGTGTAAAATATACGTTAGGTCATTTGTAAAATACTTTGGAAAGATTATTTTCCAGTAGTGTATAATCCATTAATGAAGAAAGAAGAAGTTTAAGAACTTATATGTGTTACCTAAAAGAACTAAACTAAACAAAAACAACTTTTAGATTTTAAGAACAAAATAAAGAAAGGGAAAGGAAAAGAGGGATGTAATTTAAGTAAAAGGTGTCAACTGTATGGTGATGGATGGAAACAAGGATTCTGGTGGCAAAATAAGGTAGTATATACACATGTACATTTAAAAGACTGCACTCCTGAAAACTATATCATGTTATAAACCAGTATTACACTAATATAAAAAAAAAAGCTATTGCAATAATTGCAATAGACCAAAGGAGGCCCTGAAGTAGGATAATAGTGGAAACAGGAGACATTACAATTTATGGGATTGGGAGCAGTGGGAGAACTGGGCTGGTAAGGCCTAGGAAATAGGCAAAGAAAATGATACTTTAGTTATCCTTGACACCTCAGTGTTAGATATAGCTCTCCTGGAGAATGTCTGGTTTGAGAAGAAAGGAAAATGAGTTTGAATTGCTAAAGGAACACCAGTGTTAAAATTAACTTAGTGAGCAATAAAAATGTAGGGTTAAAATCTAAAATCCAAAGTAATAGGTGACATTTACCTATATAAAATAGAAACTGTGTATATGAGCTATTCATTTTGAATAGCTATTCTTTTGAAGACAAAAGAAAAATAATATATTAGAGAGCCATAAATATTGCATACTAATTAACTTCTTTGTTATAATGATCCTTAACTGGCGGTGGGAGAATATATTATAACATTAATAGTAAAATAATAGTAATAGTAAAAACCTCCAATATTGGGTTGCCAAGATGGTACGTTCCTTGCTTTGCTCACAAGAGGCACAACAATCATCCAGGAACTAGATACAACTGAGAGAATATCACTCCAAAGTGGTGAGATTGAAGCAACCACAGCACCTCAGAAATTAACACAGACTACATTACAAGAGATGCTGAGGAACTAACTACATGAATCAAAATGAGAGAAGGTGGATAGACAGTGATGCACAGAGGTGGCAGTCTGGGGGCGGCAGTGATTGCAGGACTGCCAGTCCAGCCAAAGGCCATGAGGAAGGGAATCAGATGTATGGTAGCACACACCCATAGCCCAGATGAAGGCCAAAGTGAAGGAGCTGAAGTGCTCCAGCAAGGAGGATAGCAGAGTGAGCACTCTGGACTACACATGCTCCCCTCCACCCTACTGTATACTGACAGTGGATAGACTGTCAAGTGTCCAATTTGAGACCCCATAGAGGAAGAGTAACGGCAGTGTCATGTACAGGAACCAGACCACCCCCAGCATGGCTATGACAAAGAGTGATGTCCCTCCCCCACCCCACTAACACAAAAACAGCTTCCAACTTGTCTCAGACACCTAAGGAATCCAGCAATAACCAAAAAATAAAATAAAGCAAAAGATAAGCAATTTAGTACTAATCAATGATTCAGTTTTAAGCCAGGGGTAAAGTAGTAAAATGGGCAGATGAAAAAATATAATGCCTAGCTTGAGGCCTCAAGGTTAACATGACATCACAAGAAGAGAAAAAAACTCTACAGAATTCAGACTCAAAGAAATGGATGATTATATATCCGTATCTTAGAATTCAAAATTGCTGTTATGAAGGAACTCAATAAGATACAAGAAACTAATAAATGTAATTCAAAGAGAGACAAGAAAACTCAGAAAAGCATCTTGATGCACACAGGTACAAAATAAAATTAGTTCACAGGAGGTATATATTGAACTAATGAGCAAGAAAGATTCAATACAAAGACCTCAATGAAACCAGAGTGCTATAGAAAGCTATGGAAATAGATTAGACATAATGGAAGAATCAATTAGTGAGCTCAAAGATAGAAACCTAGAAATGATTCAGGAAGAAGAGTGAAATATTTTACAAAAATGAATACTACAAGAGCTATCCAGCTCTGGTAGGAAAGTTAACATAAGGATTTTGAGTATTCCAGAAGGTAAAGAGAGAGAGAAGAAACAGTTTATTCAAAGTAATAAGTAAGAACTTCCCAAATCTGGGGTAGGAACTGAATATAAAAGTCCATGAAACTAACAGAACACACGGTGAACTAAATGCAAAGAATCCTATAATAAAATACATTAGTAAAATGATCAGAATTCTGAGAGAGACTATTAAAAGCAAGTAGGGAGAAAAAGCAGGTAATTTATAAAGGAACTCCATCAGCTATCATTACACCTCTCAAGAGAAACTCTCAAGACCAGGAGCTGGTGGATGGACATATTCAAAATAATGAAAGATAAAAACTGCTGTTATGAATATACTATGGCACAAACCACTCTTTAGCTATGAGAGAGAAATAAAGGTTTTCCCATACAAACAAAAAACTTAAGGAGTTCACTAGAATAGACCCTTCCTTCCAAGAAATGCTGAAAGGAGCTCTTCTACATAAATTGAAAAAAAGTTCCCCAAAACTGAGTAAGGCAAAAAATAGAACCAGAAAACAAAACACAAAATGGTAGTATATAAATAAATATCTCTCATATCAATAAATCACCCTAAATGTAAATGGACTGAGCTCACCAATCAAAAGGCATAGAGTGGCTGAATGAATTGGCAAAACAAAATCCAACTAGATGCTACTTCCATGCCTCACTTAAACTATAAAGGGAGAGCCTCCCTGGTGGCGCAAGGGGTTAAGCACTGCGCTATGAAGCAATCCGTAGCCTCTGTGGCATGAGTTCGATCCCTGACCAGCCAGGGATATTCCCACATGGCGAGGCAGACCTCTCCTGTCTCACCCGCTGCTCCCCTCAGCAGTGTACTTTGGTCAGTCTGCCTGGTCTGTTCCCCACTCTGTCTCTGGTGAATCCTCTCAGCTCCCCCCCGTACCTCTGACCTGTACCCCAGCTTGTATGAATAAATAAATAAATCTTTAAAAAAAAGAAATAAACTATAAAGGGGATCAAATTGAAGTGATGGAAAGTAGTTCTTCAAGCCAATAGAAAATATAAAAAAGGACTGCTATACTTTCATCATATAAATAGATACTTCCAACCAAGAAAGATAACAAGAGACAAAGATGTGCAGGAAAAAATAACACTTATGAATACATGTGTGCCCAAC